ATGATAGTTCTAGAAACGTTGCGTCACGGTGGTCATGTGACTCGCTGACGCAACAATATCATTCACTGCATAATTTCCAAAAGATGCAATAGTTTATACATTGTACAAACAGGCCGCCGACTCGGCGAACGAGCACGAGAACGTCTAAACCATATTAAACTGAGTAACCAAGGTACACCCATAGGCAAACGTTTCACCAACCACAAACATACAGTTGAGTACTTTTCGATTCTGGTACTTATTAGCGTTTCAACAGACATTCATAAAAGAGGACGACTGTAAAAAAAATTAAGCTATAATCTGGGAATCCCACAACCATCTGGTTTAAATGAACGCTTTTATTTTCTATAGTATCTCACTTTTTCCACATTTGGTTTCAATTTTAATTTTAACCTGTTTTATATTCATGTATAAGATGTAAATTCGCAGAGAAATTTCACGCTCAACGTTCAAAATGCAACGCACGCAATTTTTAAATTCTGCGCATGCGCCCTTTTTTTGTAAGCTGTACGATCTGACGAAGAACGCTAGCTCGAAACGTCACCCTCTTCAAATAATATTTAAAAAAGTTGGCGACTGTTTAACGTATTCTTTAATTTTGATATTTTTGTCGCCTATGCGGTTAACTGTATATTTCCATAGTATTCATACAGAAAGCTACGAGTTAATTAATAAAAAACTGTAGGTTAATCTCATGCATTATAGAGAGAAAGTAATAACTAATAAACCAAATGTAACTGCTTAAACTTGAATAGCTAATCAGAATATTTTATTTTCACAGTTGTTTGATTATCATCACTTTCCATCACTGCCATAGGTCTAAAATGGGTGGATTTTTTTATCTATAAATAATATGGCTCGAGAAAGACTGAACGATTTCCAATGTACGTGTAAGAATTGGATATAATTTGAAATTTATACGTTGGAACAATATATTTTTTTTTCAGGGAGTTTAGAGTAGGTTTTTTTTTATGAAGATTCAAATTACCACAGTACTCCACCTTATGTTTTCATATTACCAGGCTTAATATTATTCAAATTATTCACAAGTTATTTTGTGATTACACTTATATTGATTTCTTCTTCAAAATTCATTTAAAGTACTTTTTGACTATAAATCAATAGCCAGAGTTGCACTCAGACAAAGCTAGAAAAATAATATTACCAACCTCAGCATGTGACCCAGGAGTCAACGTCTTGTTACACTTTTCACATTTCAAGCATGGTTTGTGCCAGTCTTTTCCTAAAGACGTCACCCTCTCGGCTTAAAAAAAAAAGAATGACTTTACCAAAATATAATTAAACAGTAGTAAATATGCAAATCCATTAGCTAATTGTATAAAAGAAATTCATCCACGAACAATTAGGAAGACTGGTAAAAGTTGTTGATCTAGTACTGTGAATTTACTCAGGAAAAGTTGCATACCCCAACAGCTAAAAATTCGTATAATTTTCGCCCCTGTGTCTGAAATCCCTGGGGAGGGACGAGTTCATCTCAAAGGGATGTTTCAAGCATTCGACAAATTGATATGAATTGGGGATTTTCATACCTATAAATGTTGTTTGAAATAGTCAGTGACATGTGCAGCGGTGGATTCTGGTTTATTGAACTTTTAACGTCTTGTCTGAATTTCGGCGGTAAATTAAAATTACAATGCGCATTGTTTTTACCCGATGTAGTCGCGGACGATGTTACGGTCTGGAAAAGTATCTCCACCCCATCCATAGTAACGCCCCCCAGTGGTACAGCGGTATGTCTGGGGACTTACAACGCTAGAATCCGGGTTTCGATATCCGTGGTGGGCAGAGCACAGATAGCCCTTGTGTAGCTTTGTGCTTAATTACAAACAAACAATCCATAGTAGCGCCCCCCAGTGGTACAGCGGTATGTCTGGGGACTTACAACAATCCATAGTAGCGACGAATCTACAACTACTATTAAATAATATAGAGAATACTGCCAACAATATCGTATAAAAATAAATGTTCCTAAAAACCAATTACTTACCTTCACGAGACTAACAAAACACAAAAAAGACCCATCAAAATTATACATGAATGGAACACTTCTCCAGACCACAACCTCAGCAAAATGTTTAGGTTTAACCTTCGACCCAAAGCTAACGTGGGTAAAACATACAAATTATATATTAACAAAACTCTGAAAACGCACAAATTATGAAAGAAGTCTAACAGGCAAAAAACCACAGAACCTCACCTGACAATGTTATGAAATTTACAAAACATATATATATACGTCCCATCATTGAATATGCATGTCCCGCACGGATAAATATAGCACTCAAACACATAAATAATAAACTACAATCTATACAAAACTCACTAATTATCACAGCGTTTAAAGTCCCCCGTAGCACTTCATCAAAATGTATGCACAGTTACGCAAATCTACAAACTATAGCTGATAGACTCTTGCATAATTCTTTAAATTACTTTGAGAAAAATTGGCAAAAGAATGACTTCCTCTGTGAACTCGATCGCTACTACATACATGATGGAAGTAGATCTAAGTACATCTCACCTGTGAACATATATTTTAGAAATAGGAATTCAATAAGACCACATATTACTGGACCTTAAACCTTACATTAGTTTAGACTAAAATAAATAGATTTAAAACGAGTATTTTATGTGAAATGTTATTATATTAGTTTTAAACGAGTGAAATGTGTTGTCGACATATACGGAACTGTTCGCCAAGTGTAAGACTTTACAATACCGAATTTAAGTGATGATATGCACAACACACGAATGTAAATGCAGGTACCTACATGGACATTGCCCTGAAAGAGAGTCGGAGCAAGTGCGGTTTACTCCGACAATCATGTCGTATCTACATCAACATTCATCTGTTCCAAAACCGTAGTTCGGAAAAGAGGAAGAGATCTTTTGTACCTGACCCTCCCTGTTCTGTCAAGACCAAAATCCCGATCACGAAGCTGAAAGAGACTGAGTACCTAATGTAGAGATTTTAAAAGAAAGACAATAGAATTAGAGGCCTGCCTCTAAAGTGGAATATATTTGACGTTACTTTATTCACTGTGAATAAAGATTTTGTTTATTTGTTCACTTGTGTTTCTTTCCTTTGCCGTCCGAGTTTCATTTGTTCTCTGCTTAATCGTTCTGAATCTGCGTTTTGGATACTTTGAAACTTTTCTGCTTGACATCATTGAAACTGAATATCAAGCTACTTAATATTATTTGTTAATTTTCTGAGTGAAAGAAAGTGAACAAAAATATATAATATTATGTTTACTACACCATATCTGCTTTATCCTTTCCCCCCAGTGGCACAGCAGTATGTCTGCGGACTTACAACGCTAAAAACTGGGTTTCGACACCCGTGGTGGACAGAGGACAGATAGCCCATTATGTAGCTTTGTGCTTAATTTCAAACAACAACAGTTTTATCCTCTGCTGACGAGACCTTTTCTATAAATACCAAGGCTCTTCCGGCCGACTGGGATACAACAGATATAATGGTGGTTGAGACGTTACATTAATTACTGAACAAGTGTTACGGTGTGAACTGGATTATTAAGCTTAGTCCATTAATGTGTAACAAAATATTCGAGATCTCTAATGTAAACTAAGACATATTCTATTAAATGTGCAATGACCTTGGTCTACCAGCTACCTGTGTGTCATCACTTTTTGTGGATACACATTTTGAAGATCTAAACAAATCAGTTAAAATGACTATTAAATATGGCCTATAGGCTTTTCAAGTTAAAACATGTACATGTTTTTTAACAAATTTACTAAGACCTTATTCCTTTGATACGTGTTCATATGAAAGGATGGAGTTTACGAAATAGGTCAGCATGTATAATTGATTTAGATGGTAGTTTTTTACCCCCTTGTCATAAAATAATACGGATTAGTTTTATCCCTTGTGGTATACATTATTTTGTAGTATCTTTTAACTTGACCTCTGATTTCTATCTACGACTGAGTCTATAATACGTGTGTATACCTTACATTAGTAAGAATGTGGAAAACGTTATTTTCGCTTACCCTTTTATTAACCTCTAGTTTGTAACAAAAACACTGAAACTGCTGGCGACGTTATTAACTGTTGATTTTTCAAAATATATATCTTTTTTTTATCTCTTCATCCATACCTAATATATGTAAAATTTTAAAAATCGACCTTTTTGTTGTTTTATTTGAGTAAGTTTGCTACTAAAACTATAAATTAAAATTATTACTTTACTAGCAACATCAAATTGATTACAAGTACAATGACTAATAATTGCAAAAACACGAGCTAATAATTACTGTGACTTCCCTTAGAATGAAAGGCAATATTAGTATCTCGAACATTTGTTTATTTTTTTCTTTTCGAGCAAATTTGAATTGGAATATCTCCTGGGTCCACTGCGAGGAATCTAACCCTGAATGTTAGCGTTGTAAGTCCGTAAACTTACTGCTATTTCTTCGGGAGATACATCTCGAGGGATACTATACTGATGTTTCTCCGGATATTATCTTGTGATATTCCTCAAGGTTTTTTGCTAATTCGGAAATGCTATTCGATGTTCCTCCTGTGTTTCGTGTTTATACATTTTACTCTCAAGCGAATTTAATACACACTACATTTTGTTGAGATTTTGACTCTGAGTGCATGAACCGCACCATTCTGTTTCCTTTCCTTCTCCTTAATTACCGTTTCACAATATTTCCTATGTGTTTTGGGTAATTATCATGCTCAAAGATGAAATTCTGACCAATCACACTCCATTTCATAATTGTAAAGCACGATGAATTCAAATGTATTTGTAGCACACAGTATTCGGAGTCTCGTCTAATTAGATGTAATCTCCCACTTCACAAGTTAAAACACAGTCTCGTACTTGTTTACCACTTCATTGCATTTCACTGATGGCTGGGGAACACTGTTTCTTCAGTCTTTTTCCCCTTCGTTTTTCTGACAGATTGTTTTCTCTTACGCCCAAAAAAATTCAAATTTGGAATCATCACTATAAAGTGAATATTTCGACGGGCCGGACGTGACACAGAGTTAGCATATCGACTGCATGTAGATGGGGTCTGAGGTTCGAGACGTGATGCCTCTGATCCCTGAAACTTTTAGCTGTGAGCGCATTATAAAAGAAACAATCAGTCCTGTTATTCAGTTCAAAAAGTCGGACAAAGCTCCTGTGACGGAGGGTTGTCAGTGACCCAGAATTAGGAACAGTTATTTCTGAAATTTAGGGGACTTTTATCTCTTCTTTTAGCCCTCATACTTTAAGAGTTTCTTCAGCTTGAAAATTCCAATTTCAAACCATTTAAAATCGTTTGGTTTTATTTTCCTGCGATGAATTTTCTTCTTCTTCTTTTTTACTGCTATGTGACACACTTATAATGCTGCAATAATGGGCTGACATCAAACAGTGGATCTGTCGATGTTTTCCACAATAGCATCATGCTATACGTCAGTTATATTGTTGGATTTCTTTTAGTCCTTCATTGATGTTGCTGAACATCAAGGCGTCTGCTCTTTGATTTGCCATCATTTGGCACAGTTTCATTATATCTTTTGAGAATTTTCAAAATATCTGTTTTCAGAATTCCTGTTGGTAACTATTTTAATATCACTGTATAGGCCGATTCTTTCGTCAAACTGATAATATCGTGGCTAACTCAGTCATCAACTGTAGGTTTTGTTACTATATTTTAAATTTCAAAAGACGTGGAAAGCTATTGGTCTCGCATTCAGACTTGTTTTTAGCTCCATCATTATTTTTAATTTTGGCCCGGCATAGCGAGGTGATCAGGGCGCTCGACTCGCAATCTGAGGGTCGTAAGTTCGAATCCTGGTCACACCAAACATGCTCGCCCTTTGAGCTGTGGAGGCGCTATAATGTGAAGGTCAATCCCACTATTCGTTGGTAAAAAAGAGTAGCCCAAGAGTTGGCGGTGGGTGGTGATGACTAGCTGCCTTCCCTCTAGTCCTACACTGCTAAATTAGGGACGGTTAGCGCAGATAGCCCTCGTATAGCTTTGCGCGAAATTCAAAACAAACAAACAATATTTTAATTTTCGAAACTATTTATGCATCAACTTGTTTGTAGAGCCATATCTTTAATAGCTATAGGTCCTCTAATAACATGTGAGTCGCATAAAAAGTTTATAAACAATATAATTAGTTAATGTAAGTAATTACTGTTGGGATCTTCTTCTACGTAACGCTGAGTGTTTCAAGAGCAATTGACAAAACATTAGTAAATACGATGCAACATGTAAACCCCCAGTTAATGAGCGGCATAAAAACAAGTCGGTAGTTTAAGGGTTAAACTATATCGTTAAATGTGGTTTTTGTTAACGAGATGCATGCAATTAGAGCAGTCATACTCATGGTAGTTTGTCATGTGTGTCTTGTCTAGGCCGCTTTCAGCATTTAACCAAAGATCCAAAGACTGAAGATGTATTATAGCCTGTAGAATTTAGATTACATGGAACATGGAATTCACACAAACACGAACTCCAAAAATGTTTCAGTTAATGACAAATTCGCTAAAAAAGTGACATTCCCTCAGCAAAGTGTTATACTGTTTAAGTAAGATCAATATAACCAAATATTTTACACTTTGTTGAACAATTAAGAAAATAACTTTAACATAGTACTATAATTTGCGTAAATGTTTTGTAAATTACACGACAATTTCTGTTATGTACTTATGTAATATGAGAACGAATTTTGCAACTGAGAAAAGACATTCTACCTTCCAGAGAAAGCTATAGAATACTCCTAAGAGTTTTCAATATTTTCAAGTTAGACGAAAAGCTTCATAGAATATAATATAATTTTATTTCTGATGGGAAATAAATCAATGGGCGTTACTTGAAAAACTAGAAAACGTTTTTTAAATTCTAGATGGCCTGTTCAGAATCCGACTTCCCCCTGTGGGATAGCTGTAAGTCTTCGGATTTCCAACGCTAGAACCAGGGGTTCGATTCCCCTCTGTGAACACAGCAGATAGCCTGATGTGGCTTTGCTATGAGAAAACACACACACACACACACACAGATAATCCGACAATGTGTATACCTATTCATTTAGGACCTTATCTGGTTGAAAGTTGGAATGCACGAAAAACTTATCACTTAGTAGCTAAGCCAACAGTTAACTTCAGATATAACACATTACACAATGACTGGTTTATCAGCTAGCTAAACATATGCCTTACGAAAGTATAGGCAAAGTAACATTATCAACAAGGTATACGTGTGTACACATCCCACACACCCAACAAACAACAGTGGAATAAAGTCCAATTGAATTCTTTTTTTTTCTTTTCTTTTTTCTGTATTAAGTTATCTTTCAGCATCAACATTGATCCCGAAATATTGTTTGTTGCAGAACTCCAGCCAATTAATAATGACTGCTGCATCTAACGTCTTACTGAAAGAAAATGTAATCTAATAAATCTTCGCTGATGTAATGTTTTGATGTAAGAACGGATTTGAGCATTTAGTGTAATCATATCACACATTGGAGTAACAAAGTGAACACAACAAGATATTAATTCAATCATCCATTCGAAACCATACAGGCCCGGCATGACCAGGTGGTTAGGGCGCTCGACTCACAATATGAGAGTCGCGGGTTCGAATCCCCGTCCCACCAAAGATACTCGCCCTTTCAGCCGTGGGGGCGTTGTAATGATACGGACAATCCCACTATTCTTTGGTAAAAGAGTAGCTCAAGAGTTGGCGGTGGGTGGTGATGATAACTAGCTGTCTTCCCTCTAGTCTTTCGCTGCTAAATTAGGGACGGCCAGCGCAGATAGCCCTCATGTAGGTTTGTGTAAAATTAAAACTTCAAATTCGAAACCATCCAATACTTATATTTTTAACAGCACGCTCCCCAGTGGCACAGTGGTATCTCCACTAGAAACCGGATTTGAATACCCGTGGTGGGCAGAGTACAAGATAGCCATTTGTGTAGCTTTGTGCTTAACCACAAAACGTACAAACAAACAATTTAACAGCACAAAAATACAAAAATGTTAAAAAGAAAATGACATATATACTCTCTAAGAACTGTAACATTCAGTATTATTTTATGTACTCGTATTTTATTTTGTATTTATGGCAAAGCTACTAAGAAAATCTGCAGCCATCCATAAATTTGAACTATCGACCAGAGAGGGAGTGAAAGCAGAACTTTACCACCCACCGTCCACGCTAAGGGACTGACTGTCACTTTTATTACACACATATGCATAAGTGGAATGTGGAATATTTTATAGTATTGCACGGATTGGAACATTTAATGTAATTATATCACACACTGGAGTAACAAAGTGTACACAATAACAAAAAATGTCATATTCATTCCATGTGAATAAAAATAACATTATTCTCTAAACGTAAATATTTTGATAAAGTATCTGCCAAAAAAAAATCGCTTAATTTTAGTCCAGTCTATAAATGGTGTTTTACAATTCCAAATACATTTTCAGTGCGCTCGAAACAAGTCAAAAAAGTAAAGAAACATGTAAAAACATGCACTTAAATAAAAAAGCCCATTTTGATGTTTATTATGTGCTATGTAAAAAATATTTAATCATTTCCAATAATTTTTCTACGAACGTTTTCTTGTCCCAAGATTTGAAAAAAAAAGGGGCTGCCCTCTCAACGTCTATTGGTTTCTTATAATAAGAGTCTGCGGACTTAAAACGCTAGAATCCGGGTTTCGATACCCGTGGTGGGCAGAGCACAGATAGCTCATTGTGTAGCTTTGTGCTTAATTACAAACAAACTTATAATAAGAGTCTTTCCTTTCATATCAGCTTTTTGTGTGATCATGAGGAACTTTGCCATAACATATAGATTCAAAGGGCTATTTTCCACGGAGAATATTTCTTTATTTTAACTTAAAGATGTTTTCGTAACGTTAGATAATTTATTCCAGGCGATCACTCACGCACACAAACAGAGATAAATGCTATTGTTTAATGATTCAATCTTAAGAACATTAATGTACTAGAACGTATATAGAGGGTTCAGTAAATTATCTTTAAACAGTTTTGAATATGCAAATCAGCAAGTCACGTGGCAACCACATCTGGTATAAAGTCGCAGTGGAACGAGATGTATAAGCACTACATTTAGACATTGTTTGGCATTCTGAGGGTAGTGTGATACTACTGAAAACTGATCATTTTTGGGAATGGCACGTAACAGACTTTTCTGGGACAAAATATTCGTACACTCAGATCATAAACATATATTCAGATTGGATAGTTACAATTTCCAAGAAAACTATATCTCTTATACTTAATGGCATTGGAAAACAAAGGAATATGGATCAGTTTTGAACAAAGACCATCCAGGAAGAGACCTGCAAGAAGTCACATACCCTAGCCGCCATAATTAAAGTTCGGCGTCTTGTAGCAGGTGATAATCCACGAACGCAAAGGTCAATGGCAAAATCCGCCCACTTCTCCCGTACCACAGTACAAAAGCTGCTTCCACTATATATCCAATCAACTATCGCATACCCCAAGTTACTGAGGAATGAAATGGGTATCCATGCTATACCACATGATGACATACTGGTCAAGCCATCAGACGCAGCGTACATGAATTTCTGTGCAATAGGACTGTTGAAACGGGCTCTGGGAAACTTGTACATTAGATGAAATATGGAAAGTTTGCGTGAAACATTTGTAGAAACTATGCCATAGGTCGTGGTAATCAGATGAAACATGACCAGACATGACGACATGAACCATAACGACGTAGTGAGGCGCGAAAATCGCTTTGATACAACGTACTCAACCTCTGTACATAATAAAGCCAGGAATAGGTATATCCGAATAAGAAAGACGATATGTTAAAAGTTTATCTGACCAGAAATAATAAAATCTAATATTAAGTTTATTTCTTTTGAAGTTTTAACTATATACAGAGTTAACTAACGAATAATAGAAAGGCTACAAGGAACGCAGGATTTTCAGTGCTTCGTCACGAAGACGAAGTACCATATTTAACACGGTGTTATGCCCACCTGCGTTATCCATTCAAATATTATTTACTACATCGAGTAAACATTTATGCAAGAACAAACTTTCTACCCAGTAGCTCAGCTGTAAGTCTGAGGGCTTATAACACTATACGTCGGGTTTCGATATTCGCGGTGGGCAGAACACAGGTTTAAGTTTATTACGAATTTCGCGCAAAGCTACACCAGAGCTATCTGCACTAGCCGTCCCTAATTTAGCAGTGTAAGACTAGAGGGAAGGCAGCTAGTCATCATCACCCACCACTAACTCTTGGGCTACTATTTTACCAACGAATATTGGGATTGACCATCACATTATAACGCCCCCTACGGCTGAAAGGGCGGGCATGACGGGGATTCGAACCCGCGACCCACAGATTACGAGCCGAGCGCCCTAACCACCTGGCCATGAGGCAGAACACAGATAACCCGTTGTTTAACATTGTGCCTAAAAACAAACAAACAAATAATAAAAAATAGTATGAAAATATTATATAAAATGAATAATTGTTTGAATTTCGCGCAAAGCTATACGAGGGCTATCTGCGTTAGCCGTCCTTATTTTAGCAGTGAAAGACTAGAGGGAAGGCAGGTAGTCATCACCACTCACCACTAACGTCTGAGCTACTCTTTTACTAACGAATAGTGGGATTGATCGTCACATTATAACGCCCCAACGGCTGAAAGGGAGATCATGTTTGGTATGACGGGGATTCGAACCCACGACCCGTAGATTGCAAGTCGAGCTCCCTAACCACCTGGCCATAACGGGCCTATAAATAAATCAAAACATAGCCCTTAAAACTGACAGCGAAATACATGCAATATCCTTCCGAAAAGTAACGGGGCTGGGCGTGACCTGTGGTTCATCGCGCTGTATGGTGTATCAGAGAATCCATTATTCGCGTATTGTTGCCGTAAAATACGCACTCGCACTTTGGAGCCGTGGGTTTATTATAAGAGTGATATCAAAATTTCACTATTTTATTAAAGTGACCCAAGATATGGCGATAGGTGCTACTGGCTAGAAGTCCTTCCTCCAGTCTATCAGTTCAAAATTATGACTGGCTAACACAGACAGCCCTTGTGTAGTCTTGCTCAAATGCTCGAAACAAAGAAAAGTAAATCTAAGAGTAACTTACCAAAATAAACTGGTCTGTCGCACTTTGGACAGTTTGGCATGATACTATTGTTAGGTGAACGAAGGAATACTGATTTTTAATAAATACTCTCAGCAAACGATACAAGCAAAGTTGTCTCCAAAAATTGTTCTCAGGCGGTAGGTAACGTGTGATATCGGTAATTCACTTGCTCAATCATGCAGGATTTGTGTTTTGTGCCCGCCCTTCAAATGTCAGGCCCACCTGCACATGTACATGTAATAGAGATAAACTCTAATCAATGGTGATTTAGAAGTGGGCATTTTCTGTTATGTATTTTTTCAATCTCTTGATCACTGTACCGTTAATATCGGCGTGTAGGGTTACGTACACGTGGCAGTAAACACTCTTAATCCACAAAAATCTTAAGGTTTATTTACCAAGGGTGTGAGTTACAAGTAGAAAAATGACAGTTAAGATAAAAAAAAACAGATAAGAAAGTTAAGCAATGCTGTTTGTTTTATTGGGTTGAGTCTACTCCCTTTGTAGTTGCCGTTAATTATGATCATTTTCGTGCGCTTTTCTTAATTAGAAATGAAGATGTAACTTAGCATAACTCGGCTTAATCTACGTTAAAATATACTATTAGCAAAGTTGTACGATTGGTTTTTATTTTGTGTCATAAATCAGTTTTTCTCTTCTTTCACCTTTAACCTCACAAAACTCCAAGTAATACTGCATTTCGATACACTTCTAGTAACATTAGGACCAGGGTTAACTGCGTTATGAGTAGAACCTTAAATTATCGCGTATATACACTAGCTTCGGTGTTTGGAAGCAACACAAAATGTTCTAAAAACGTGTTGGATCAGTCAACATGTCTAGTTTTTAGAGGTTCTCTTCCTAAAAACGTATTATATATGGGTAAAGAGGAACCGCAAGGGTGATGTCTGAAATATTGTTAAGCAAGTTTTGAAAGTTTGGATCAGTCAACATGTCTAGTTCTTAGAGGTTTTCTTCCTAAAAACGTGTTATATATGGGTAAAGAGGAACCGCAAGGGTGATGTCTGAAATATTGGTGAGCTAGTTTTATAAGTTTGGATCAGTCAGCATGTCTAGTTCTTAGAGGTTCTCTTCCTAAAAACGTATTATATATATGGTAAAGAGGAACCGCAAGGGTGATGTCTGAAATATTGGTGAGCTAGTTTTATAAGTTAGGATCAGTCAGCATGTCTATAGGTGATATTGACAAACTTCTAATTACTTTTTTCAGTCATTATCTACAAATTTGTCGTGAACCTCTACAACAAGTGAATTTTACTGTTTCGTCGAACTTATAAACAATGTTTAATTAAAATCTATGTTTTATTACATCTTTTCTACACAAACATCGCATATAGTTAAGACATAGATGTTAAGGGACATTAATGCCTTCTGAGAGAAAATCTATGACTTGTAACTAATTCAGAAGACGTTTGACAATTAGTGCGAGAGCTTCAATCAAACCAAATGTCATACGAAACTTTGACCTATAAACTGAACAAGATTACCTGGTAATAACAAAAACGCCACGTTCTGCTATGATTTTATACATGAATGTTTAACTCTATTTATTTTTTTTTTTGGTTTGATAGTTTTGTTTCGGAAGTTCTCGCAAACCATCTGCCTTATCTGTCCCTAATTTAAAACTGAAAGATTAAAGAGAAAGCAGCTAGATAATAGCACCCACTACCAATTCTTGTATTACTCTAATCGAATAGTGGGATTTTACCGCCGCTCTTACAGCTTACCTGCACCAAAGTGCGGAGCGCAAACTTTCGGCAACGGGATGCGAATTCCCGGATCTATAGTCTGGCACCACAACCACTAGTCCACGTCCGCACCATCATGCATCGTTTTTAATATAAACAAAGTTTCTCAGAAGGTATAGCAATGTGCCTCAATTTTGTTAGGATTGCGGTTTGCAGCATTCAGTCTCAATAGGAACGTGGGACAGCGGTAAGTCTTTGGATTTAGAACGCTAGAATGGGGGGTTCGACTCCCTTCGGTGGACACAGTAGATAGCCCGATGTGGCTTTGCTATAAGAATACAAATGTTCAATAGAAACACTCAAAAATCGTAAACGAAAAAAAGTAAACAATACTCCTCAAGGAGGCTTTTAAGCTTACCTTACAGCAAAATATATAAATTTTAGCACTAATTATTGTATAAGGATATCTTAAAATATTTGATCACATGCTACTAAGTGTGGTACTATTATTTATGTAATAACACATTCCGTTAACACTGAAAAAGTGACTTTTGCCTATTTTATCAAGTCTGCTTGTCTGCTTAGTTTGCTCCTCAAATAAGAATTTCAGTATCATTCACCCATATTAGATGGACAGTGATTACTTCTAAAACACATCCTTAGTGACCTTCCATAGTTTTCCTCAAACTACTTACTTTTACTGCTATGTTGATAAAGAATTAATTTCCCTAAACGAAGTGAAACATCAGGGCAGTATCAATTCATGACTGGTCTAGCCTGATATGTCACCATTCTATCTCTCAAAATCGTCAAGATGATTTGTAAGTATTCTTAAAGCTGTATCGTTTTTCTGTATACCTTTAATAACACACACATTCTCAGTATAAATATAACTGTCAATAAGACAAAGTGAATACACTGTCAGTGTAAATGTAACTGTCAATAAGACAAAGTGAATACACTGTCAGTATAAATGTAACTGTCAATACTGTGAATACACTATCAGTGTAAATGTAACTCTCAATATGACAAAGTGAATACACTATCACTGTAAATGTAACTCTCAATATGACAAAGTGAATACACTGTCAGTATAAATGTAACTGTCAATATAACAAAGTGAATACACTGTCAGTGTAAATGTAACTGTCAATAAGACAAAGTGAATACACTGTCAGTGTAAATGAAAATCTCAATATGACAAAGTGAATACACTATCAGTGTAAATGTAACTCTCAATAAGACAAAGTGAATACACTGTCAGTATGAATGTAACTCTCAATATGACAAAGTGAATACACTGTCAGTATAAATGTAACTCTCAATTATGACAAATTGAATACACTGTCAGTATGAATGTAACTCTCAATTGGACAAAGTGAATACACTGTCAGTATGAATGTAACTCTCAATATTACAAAATGAAAAGTAAATTGAGAAAGACATCAGGATGGGATTTTGAATCAAAATTATACAATAAAATTGTAAAGGTATTTATGAATTAGTGTTTTTATCACCTTATTAACTGTATGAAATAACGATGTGTCTCACTGAAGTTTTCGTTTTGGTTTATCGACTATTGTAACAATTAAAATCCATGCAAGAAGACCCAAGTGGTATAATTCTGAATAAATCTTATCCTTCACCTTCTGAGGATTTATCTCTGATAAATTGCTAAATTAATTAAGGAACCAGGATACCAGGTCTATGATATTCTTTGCCAATACGTAATTATTCAAGGCTGTTCACTTCGTTTCTAACTTTGAGGTATAAAGAAACAATTGCTGCTTGTACCGGATTGAAAGCATAATTTTTTTCTGCATCTTAACGTTGGAACTCAGCTTCCAAACTAGGATTATAGATGGAGCTCTTCTTGACCTTGTGACATACTCGAACACAATTTTTTTATAGCGCGTTGGGGACTAACAAACGCAATAATTAGATTAGAATGGGTATGAATAAGTTCAAAGAGAAAGCATGAATATTTAGGGAACATTATTTTTGTCAGAGAATAATGTAGGAAATTTCGTTACATATTTTAGGTTTGATTTCGAAGTAGCAAGCTGTAGTATAAAAAAATGTTGTTAGATCAAGATCGGTTAGGTGCTAGGGGGAACAGAAAGCGCTAAGGTTTGAAAGAATAAAGTCGATCCTCACTCAAAAACCTGATTGGCTTCACCCATGTATTTAATGTTTGTTTAAAAGACAAAATTAGCAGGTAACAACCGTTGAGAATTATTGTTGAAACATAGAAAAGAAAAAAACTAACACATGACAAATGCAATGAGTTTCCAAAATAGTTGAGAACTGGATTACTTTATTGGAGAAAGATTTATCCCTCCAAAATATTCACTGTACTGATAAAGGTATATTGTAGCAAAATAATTAACTTGATTTGTTTGTATGTAGTTAATACAAGGCTTAACTATGAACTATCTGTGTTGTACCCACCATGGATATTGAAACTCCGTTTCTAACGTTATATGTCTGCAGACTTACCCCTGTGCCACTGGGGGGGGGGGGGGGGGGGGTATAATTAATTTGAAAGTAAATAATACAGCAATGACTTTAGTAGGCACAATGGACAGCCACGTATTTTTTCTAAACGAATCCATTTTTTACCAAGAAAATTAAAACATTCATTACTACCTTATTAATTTATTTTTAAAGGCTATGATTGCATAATAAATACGTAAAATTGCTGAAGTAGGATACATTTTATAATATAGTTCAATCTTATTGAATTCTTAGTCGAATAATGAACCTTTTAACAGCTTTAATATTTTTTGATTATATGTATTTTCTTTTAAAGCTTTGTTATTTTTGCGTTATGTTAGGTACTAAAACATAGCTGGAAATAAATAAAAAAAACATGCTTTAAAACTATATTAATTTATCTTGAAAATAGTAGATGGCAGCACCACCCTAAAGTTTGGTTTGATTTGTTTGTTGAGGGCCTAGCTACACAATTGGTTATCTGTCTTCTAACCACCACGGGTATCGAAACTCGAATTCTAATGTCGTAAGTCTGCAGGCATATCGCTAAACCGCTGGGGGCACAAATAAAAGTATTTCAGGCAACCAAAATCAATGCGTTTCGTATATTATACGATATAATTCATCTTCCCTATGTTTAAAGGTATTTTTGGGTTGGATATTTTTATCATTACTTTAAATACACAAGCAGTCTAGGAACTGGTTTAATTTGTAGTATTTAACGTTTTAAGCGACCATAATCTTTAATTATAAAGCTATTTTGTCGAGATTAACTGACATCTGACAGCTGAACTCAATTTGAAATAAAGAGTCGCCTAAAACGAGACACCCAAGAAAGTATTTCTGGAAGAGTTTATGGCAGGACTCAGTGTACCCCAGTGGAAGAGCGGTACGCTTGTTGACTCCCACTGCTAAGATTGAGGGTTCGATTCCTCGCGTTGGACATTGCAGATAGACCAATGTTGATTTTCTCTAAACCAAACAACAACAACAACAATAACAAAAAAAAAACTAAGTACAACGGCAAAACAAGTAAGTGCATCCACACACTCATTCATCTTCCGATTTTATAATTTCTGTATAATTTGATAGCATAGTATGTGTTGTAAAAATCGTAATT